TTTAACAAGGTCAGGAGATGGAGGGTGGTGATGTTTATACAACAACAGGATTGCCCTTAATACTACCAAACTATACACTGAAAGATGGTAACTTTTATGTTATGTGCATTTTACCACGATTTTTTTCAAAATCAGGGGGAGGAAAGCTAGGCTTTGGAGTGACTCATGGCCTGGACTCTGAGTTCTGACAATTGCCACTGAATGATCTTAGGCAAGGGCTTGTTTCCTTCTGCCAGGGGCCACAATGGTGTTGGCTTCACCGTGCAGAGATCTTGAGGGAAAATCGTTAGGTGTGGTGGCTGCACTGGAAGCAATGCAAGCACTCTATATAGGTTTACTCCTGTTCTTATCATTAACTCTATTTCAATGCAAGCTTGGTATTATCTTCCCATGCCCCTTCCCACCCCTAGGAACTGCAGGCTTCACAGCTTGCTGTCTTTTCTCTGGAACTTTCTCTGGGAACACTTAAGGGAGAGGGAGCATTTCTCAGCTAAATACACGTATAAACTCTTACATGCTTGTCTATGCATAGATTTTCTTTGGAGAGAAAAATATGAAACCAGTAACAGTGATTGCTTGTGGAGAATGGATGTGGGAAACTGAAGGAATACTGTGCTCTTTGAATATATTCCTACATATAAACATTACTATTTAAATAATTTGATTAATCAAATTATCAAAGACCCTCCACTTCTTCCTCTCTCTCACTCCAGTCCCCTACCACCTTGCACTATTCTCCAGATGTCCATCTAAAACTGCTCTTGCCTTTGTTGAGAAATTCAACCCATTTCTCCTTATCTTCCTGTCTGTTTTATGCCTTTTTGACATATGACACATCATTGCCCTTAGCCTCAGGGAAACCAGTAAAATGTATCCATGATAAAGGAAAGGGCCATGTCTGTGTTGACCAGTTCTGTAGACCTATGGCAAAGATCATTGCCTGGCATACTCGCAAGGGCTGTGTATATATGTATTTGGAATGAACAAATCATGAAACAAAAAAGCAAACTCAAAACAAAACCCAATGACCAGCATTAAAACAAAAGTAAGCACTGGAATAACACTGACAAATTCTCAAGAGGTATCTTGATCTCCACAAAGCCAGAAATAAAAGCAGAGGTCATTATTTTCAAACAAAGCAGTCCTAGGGGTGATATTTTACTATCCTGCAAAAACACTGAAGAAACTAAGAAAACTTCATTGTTCACACAAGCAGTCAGTATTAGTTTTCAAAAATTGCATGTGAACCTATAATTATTTTAAAAAGTGTAATTTAAATGAAACAGTACAAACCCGATCTGTTGGCTGAAGAAGAAAAATCTACCAATTGGAGAATCATTAAGGCCCAAATTAATCAATGAAATTAGGTGGCTGGTAAGTTGCAAGTTGCAAAGATGCAAATGAGCCAACCTAAGGAAAGGTACATTACTATGCATACTGTGCAGCAGTAACTCAGGGCAAATCATATACCTAATAGACTTGTGGCTATAAGAGGCTGGAAAACAATGTTAATAATATGTTGCAGTTGTATTTGGCAAGTTCTTAAAAGAAAGACATGAGCTCAGAAAAAGTTTTCCATTTTCTGAGCAGAAATTTAAAAAAAAAGAGAGAGACAAAATCCAGATACTCAGAGATTTGTGAGTAAACTGATCTTGGGCCTGAAACAGCAAGAAACAAATGAAGAAAATACTTGTGACCAAGGCCTCCATGCAATAATTAGATTAAGGATATGAAGTTCCAAAGCTTTACGGCTGAACACAGTGGCTCAGGGACCGTGTAAGACTTTCTGTTTTTTGCACAAAATCCTCGGTTTAAGTTATGCTCCAGGTTTAAATCAAGGTCTGAGAGTACAGATGCAAAAGAAATAATGCAAAAGATTTGAAAACAAGTCACAAAAAAGAACTGTATGCGTGGTTTCTGGCCCATTTTGCTGATTTTAATTAATCAGGTAAAACTTCTACTACAGCTTTGGGAGTCATTCTGACCAAAGCAAAACAAAAGACAACCCATGTACCCAGGTTCCAAAAGTCTTTGTTCAAAATTTAAAATGACTCTTGGGTCTCTCATGCATTGAGGAAACTATCAACCTCCATGGCAGAGATGCTCCCTTATCTCACTGGGTATGGCCAGGACCATGGAAAAAGACTGGAAATTGAAGAACCTGCAGAGCATGAAGCAAAAAGCCACAGAGAAGAATGGGGCAGGGAGGCCTTAAGAACAGGACTGGTTCTAAATAAGGAACACCTGCCCTAACCAGGGTATGTGGCTTCAGAGTGTCTAGGATGATTTTGGCATTGCTGCAGGCCAGGAACTACAATTTCCTTCTTTCCTTTTCCTGTTTTGTATTATGCTAATAAATCATTTTTTTAGATCTTAGGTCTAATGGGGGAGAAGCTGCCTAAGCCCTAATGTACAGCCCTCCTGAGCGTCAAATTGGGTGTGGGACTAGGTCGTATTTTTGGCCAATGGGTCATGAGTGTAAATGACACAATTGCTGGAAGGCCAAATAATTTAATCCCTCATGTGAGCCCTGCCAATGTTCTCTTGGCCCGCTGTGCTCTTGTAGAAGAGGTTGGGAGTTAAGAGAACTGGGATAAAGGACTAAGGGAGCCAGTGTGCTAAATGCTGCATGAAGAGCAGTTACTAGTGCTCCTGGATCATAGCCATTTTGTAACAAGTAAGCTCCCCTACAGAATCACACCCAGACACTGGAATGCTGCCATAAGAATGCAGCATAAACTGCATTGTTCAGCTCCACTGATCATTGTTAGGTTCTCCCATCCTCAGCTGATTACTCTCATTGACAAAATTTTAAGTGACACATATTGACCAGGCTACATTGCCAAGCTCTCTAATGGCATCAGCCCTGGGAGAGACTGTCACTTGGGGCAGACTAGAGACTTCTATGAACACTGTCTGTTGGCTGGCTTGGCCTGCATCCTACTTGCACTTTGTACCCACCCCTATGTCCTGCCAGTTTCACTCATCCTTCCATAGGTTTAACCTGGACACCCAGAGGGGGAGGTTAGAGAGGAGTTCAGTCTCAAAGATTCTAGACTCAAACTTAATGGAGATGAGAACCTAGTCTTTATGAGTATGGAAATCAAAGTCTAGAAAATCCGGCCCTATAACTAGAGATGTTTTTGAATAATCTGAAGTGGAATACAGCTATGATACTCTAAGGCAAGTATCCCCAACTCAGATGTCCACAGGAGCCAGCAGGGTGTTGGGAGTTAGTGAAGTCAGCCCGTGGCATTTGGATGTCTCACATGTTGGTCAGAGTGGCAGGTTTCTCTTTAGCTCTAGCTGATTGTTATCTGGTGGAAACACAAGGTAAGAATGGCCTGACCTTAACATTTTTCTTTAGAAGCCAGGACTACAGATCTATATGGAAATCTTTTAAAACAAATTTTTAAAATCTCCATTTTAAAACATTGCTAATTAACTGAAAATAAAACAGACAACTCCATGACTAGTGGAACATGAATACAGGCCACAGCTGGTTTATAAACTGACCTGTGATATACATTTGACTCGGGGGCACAGGGACTGGCTAGAACCAAAAATGTGTGCTGAGATACAGTAGGAGGCCATGCTGAGTAAATGGTGGCCTAGATTTGGAATGAAGGGTGCACCCCAGAGGACTCACAAGTCTGCACAGAAAAAACAGGGAGGCAGAGTGGCAAAAGGTGGTAGAGGGGAGGGGTAGGAAGTATAGGCCAAGTATAGAAATCCTTGCTTCTCAACACAGTTGTTATGAGTAGGTTTCTTTGCCTGTCTTGATTTCTTCATACATAAAACTGAGACTAAATCCTGACAGGGTCATGAAAATTAAATGAACTTATACATAAGAAAAATGCCTGGACTTGGGAGGCATTTAAAACAGCTTTTTAAAAAGGTTTCCTAAAATGAAAATGAGTTTTAGTGTGCATGAAAGTTACCTGGAGGGCTTGCTGGACCCCCAACCCAAGCGCAGGCCCTTGGAAGGTCCCTGAGTAAGGAAGATACTTGATGAGAGCACTGCTTCAGGAAGGGTGGCCAAATGGCAGTTTGGAGCCTGACGTCAAGACTGGTGAGGTCTCCAGTGGTGTGACCAGTTTGAAGGGAGCAGTGTTTACTACCATGTGGCCTTGGAGCCCAGCCCAACCCTGGTGACAAGATCATAAAAGCTGACCTCCTGGCTCCTTAGATGACAGGGCACATGTCAGTGCCAATGAAAGCTTAGCTATGCCAGCTCTTCTGTCTGCTTCCCTCCCCTGTCCTCAGCACCCTGAGGTCAGCTGAGGGAGGCAGGCCTGGCCCCTTACTGGTGCTCCCCTAAACACTATTTTCAAACCCAAACCTTAGAACCAGCCTCTAGACCTATGTCAGACCTTGGCCTTTGCTGGGTCCCCACCTATTTCTCTCCTAGGTCTTTAACAGCTAATGAAAGTCTTCTGCAGAGTTCCAGGCAATGCACTGAGCCACTTTAGCAAGCTCAACTTCAGAAGACTGCTTCTATCTTTTGAAACCTTAGGAAGGTTAAGCTATATGCAAGCATATTTTTAACTAGTTTCAAGATGATGTTGATGCTGTTTGGTTGGGGAGTTTGTATGGAGCCATCATGGCAACTGGTATGATGCATCTAGATGTCCCCCCTAAAGCCTCATGCAGTCATAGGTGGGGCTTTTTTCAGAGGTGGCTGGATCTAGGATGTGTGATACTGGGATTAAGGATATGTGACTACTAAAATAGTTCACTTATTGGCTTGGCACCTGCCCTAATCACGGTAGCTTAAAAGGGCCAGAAAGAAGCTATTGTTGATTGTCCCTTGCTTGCTTTTGCTATCTTCTGCCTGCAATGAACTATTTCTCCTCTGTGATGCCCCTCTCTCATGCCACCCTGCCTTGGAGCCAGCCGATTATGGATTGAAACCTCTAAAGACTGTGAACGTTAATAAACCTTTCCTCCTTTAACTTCTGGTGTAGGGTATTTTGTCTCAGCAATGAGAGAAAAGTAACTAAGACAGTAGTAGACGTTTTATTCAATTGATAACACTAGTGATATGGAATGCATGGGAAGCCCCATCTTGACTCTAGTAAACAGGAGCTAGGACAAAATGACAAAAAAGGGCTAAAATCATCCCTGAAAGCTACAGATCTCACTAAGAACCCAGAATTCAAACTCATCCTAGGTTGAGATGGTGGGTTGGCAATGCTGGTGAAACATTAACCTGGAAACCAGAAACAGGCCAGCAACAATGGTCTCCAGTAGCAACTGTAGAAGCTGGTCCAGGCAAAAGATCCGGGCTTTCAAAATGGGACAGTGCACCCTCCCTCCTCTCCAACCGATTCCCATCCTCAATGAGGATGGCGTTCCCATGACAGCTCTAAGGCTTGGATGGCTTTCCAGGGCGTATAACATCTGTTCTTGTCCTGTAGATGCCACTGTGCTCCACTGGGCCACACAGGGTAGTAGGGATTCTAACCACAGAGGGAGAGAAGCCTAACTAGCTTGAGGTCAGTGACAGACTCCTTTCTTGCTTAGGAGTGAACAGTTAGGGTACTTAAGGAATGAAGTATTTTTGGTGGCCTAAAGTTCCTTAGGGAGGGACTTTATTTTATCCCAGAACATAAACACTTTTTCTAGGTTCTGCACAACTAAACCAATACCCAAAGCATGAGGCCTCAGTTGAGGGTGCAAATACATTTGGCTGGCAACCAGCTATTTGAGAAGCTAGAGACTGGCTTTCTTGTCTGCAGCGGTTCTACTGCTTTTGGTCTTGACTAATACCTTTTGCTCCTGCCAATATATAAGCACTTTCCCCCTTTCACTTGACTTGGCCGAGAGCCAAAAAGCTAGTTCTTTCGTCAACAGCAGTGACATGTCTACAGTTCCCTTCCTAGTCTGATAATGTTCTGTCTCATTTTTTTTTTCAAATAAAATCTTTAGCCTAGGTGACTTTTAGTGGATATAACATGATGATAAAGCAACTGGTATCTTGCCATATTTAAGTCTATGAAAATAAGGTTGCTTCTCATCAGATGGTCCAGGCTTTAGTAATAGGAAAAAAAAGCAGACAACTTAAGACAAGCTAACAACTGCCTGTTCAAAAATATACAAAATGTAGTCAGTTGAGCATTTGTGTGCAGAACAGACATTTTCTCTTGAGCTTACCGATTTTGACCTTTTTCTGGTTGAATCAAGATCAATGTTGGAGACAAGCGGCTGGGAAGGTCATTCGGAAGTAGCTGTGCAGAGATCTCCCTCCCGGGAAGCAGTGTTCTAGTAAGGGTCTATGGTCTTGGAGAAGACATTCCCGTCAGTCTGAGAAGTTTCTTTGCAAAACACAGGACTGGTAGAGCTAGCAGTGTTTACTAGTAGCAGTGTGAAGAAGACTGGAGGGTCTTCTTGGGACTGAGAATTCTAGGTGTTGAATCTTGTAACTGAAAAGGCCAGCCACCTGCTTCAGCTGGAAACAGAATTATGTCCACTAAGAGATGGGAAACTGACAACTCTTCAGATGTAACTGCCACCTGCCCTGAACTGTGGCCAGTTTCAAATGATACCCCATGCTACAAAAAGATCTTGCTACATTCTTGGCAGTGCAGTCATAATTTAGGGGTATTTAAGGTTATGGAGCAAGTAGAACATTCATTTTAACAGGGAACCATATTAAATGGTCAAAAATGATCAGATTAGGGCTGGGGGTGTAGCTTATTAACTCAGGGGAGAGGACGTACTTATTAACATGTGCAAGTACCATCAACAAAAAAATGAGATGAGCAATATCCAGTAGTAGGCTCATCTAAAAACCCAGAATTCATGGTCTTAAGTAATCTGACACCATCAAAGGGTTGCTGTACAAAGTGGGTTCCAAGGCCCAGTGGCACAACATAACCCATCAGCTCGCTAGAAACACAGATGTGCAGGTCCCACCCTAGAACTTCTAAACCAGAATATGAACTTCCCAAGATCCTCGAGGACACTGCTGCACACCCCAGGCTGAGAAACACTGACAGGAATGTACTGCCCCCAAGTGACTAGCATCAGTAATGGTTCAGGAAGGAAAGATATCACCTGTTCCTGACTAGCTACATTTGCCAGCTTCAAAGTAGTCACAGCCCTAATTGCTGCCAGTCATGTGTTATGCAAAACAATGGCAGAGGAAAAGGGTGCCCCTTCACAGAACCAGGATCTAACATTCAACTGAAGCTGCAAAGTAGGAGTATCAAATGATTTTATTATAAAACACTTTATTGATCATTCACTTTTCTAAAAATTCAACCGTGAGAACAGAAAGCTTCTAATACTCACTAGCCCTCGCAGGACAGAAAGATGCCTAGACAAAGAGCCTGAAAGTGGTTTTCTTTATATCTAATGTCTGGCTTCCTCATCACTCCATGGCTGTATGTTTTGTCACCCCTGACAAGGGAAAGGAAACTGGCTAGAAGAGTCATATACAAGAAAGTCATAACAATTTTAAGGCTATCAGTGTTATCAGCTTGTACATTCTAACTTGTACATTTTTAACTCTGAGACACAATATCAAGTAAGCACTGTCAAATACCTACTCCCACCTAAATGTACTATTATTCTTTGAAGTTACCTTTGGGACTGACTATGTTCTTTCATTATAGTTTCTGTTTATCTGAGAGTGCAAACTCTAAAGCCCATGTGTAGTCTCCATGTTCAAGCATAAAAGTTCATTTCAGGACCACATTAGGTTACTGTAGTGTTTATAATTCTGTAGTGTCTACTGAATGTAACACCATTGGACAGGCTGGTCAGGTGGTGGCACAAGGCAGGGGCACATGAACAACTTTCTCACTGCCAGACTTGATGCCTGTTCAATTTGGACACTGCGCTACGGTCAAAGCAGAGATCTTGAAATCAGTGGTGACCCTGGCCGACTGAAGTGGTACTCTTAAAGAACAGGAATCCATTTCTTCACCATTAAATAAATGGAGCTTTCAAAAGGTTTCAGGCCTGTTCTAAAAAGAAAAGATAATCATATCAAAATGCTGCTTTTTAAGATAATACGCACTTAATTTTACATTCCTAAAGGAATTTACAGGTTAACTAGAAAGACTTACAAATGAATGTTTCATACTCCATAATGGACTCAAGGTCCTTCTCCCAAGAGAAAGGCAATCCCACACTTGAGTGAGTGTCCACAATAACCCCGCTGCTCTTGCATCCTCCACTGACACTCCAAAGGCCCAGTCATTTCACCTCACTTATCTGCTTTATTAGAAATAACAGACATCTCAAAGAATCTTAAGAGAACACCAAGAGTAGAATGTGGGGCTAGGATATTCCCCAAGAGCTGTCAACAATGGCTAAGAAAAAAGTCCAATATTCATATATACTGTCTTCCAAAATCTGCAAAAAGCATTCATTTGTGTATCTACTGCTGATTTCCAAAATGAAATTTAATTAATAAAGAAGGGAGAACAGCAGATTCTCATAGTGACAGAGTGGTAAACTAGAAACCTTACTAAATACACGGAAATATCAGAGCTCAAAGTAGACTGTGAATCCCACTTAGTATACCACTTTAGAATGCACTGCTTGATTTTATACTAAAATTGCAAACTCACATCCTGTGGAGAGACTCATTTAAGCAATTTTAGAAAATGAAGACTTTCATGTGAATTTCCCTGGCATACCCCAATCATCCCAGCTGGACCCTAATGAAGCGTCTATGCACAGCTTAAACGCTTAGCTCTAGTCACACAGAGTATCATACTCAGTGATGCAGGAAAATACGACCAATTAGTTCTCAGCGAGATGTGACTCCTAACAGGAGGTGAAGCCCCTCTGCAGTAAGCACTTTCCTGAAAAGATATGAAATATGACCCCCAATTACAGCTTATCTCTTTTCTACCCATTTTATATATCTATAAGTGAGAGACAAACGCTCCCAGACAAAAGATGGGACATCAGACCTTAGGAGGTATCTTGGGACAGAGCTGGAGGGTCCTGGCTTTCAGGCTCTGGAGGTGGTGCCGGCACAGCTTCTTTTTTCTTGGCTGCCAGGAACTCATGAATTGCTCGTTCTATCTGTGGCCTGAAGATGTGGTTTAGTTTTGGATCCACCACCTGAGATATAATCCTGTCCACTCCTGCTTCCAACATGCCTGACCTTGTGGAGACAAGACAGATCACTCTGTTACTTAGTTCCTTAGAGTCATCTGCAGCCCCAACAAGCCCCAAGTGTCATGTGAGAGTCCAGTAAAAATCCACCTGTTAACTTTCTAGGGAGTTCTTTTAAAGGTCAGTCTACTTACCCCATGGAGTTTAGGTCATTGTAATTTCTCTTCTGAGGGGAAACTCACAACTAGGAGCTTCTTATTATTCCTAACCCAGTCTTATCCACTACTACCTCAGCTTTGTACAAATGAACCAAATAAAAATGGGCAGACTGCCCCAAAGATAAAGAACAAGTGACAACATAGAAGGAAAGAACCTGATATGTGCAGTTGAAAACCTTAATTGTACTGTCAAAGCCAACCATCCTGGATTTGACTCCATTCCCTTCAATACTTATTCTCTTATAATTCAAAGCAGAAAAAACCTCTGGCAGCAACTCTGTCACTATCCTCAAACCATATACAACATAGATCAGTCAGGGTGAAGCATTTTCATCACCAGAAATTCAACAAGGCTTCCAGTGATGGGCACTATTTACAAAACACAATAGGCAACTTGCAAGCAATGGTTCTATGGGGTTAAAATACATCCCTGAGTGCTTTCTCAAGTAGAGCAAAATATAGTCAAAATCTACCAATGTTTGCATTCAAATACTTGGAGTATGAAATCCATTCTTGAGAGCCGGGCCTCATTACCTCACTGCCTTTAGCTGGTTCTCAACATTGCCACACTGAAGCCAAGCTTCCGACACAACGATATCCAAACCATAGCACCACTTTATCACACGAGCTGTTTCAGGTCAGCACTGCCACAGTTACCTATATCACCACAAGGGACCCTTTGTGCCATCACTTTCATATCACCCCTCCCTCACCATTCCTAACCCCTGGCAATCACAAATTTGCTCTCCATCTCTGTTAGTTCATAAATGTTGTAAAGGGAATCATGCACTGGGTATCTTTTTAATATTGGCCTTTTGTCACTCACCATACTTTTCCGACATTTCCATTTTGAAAAACACAGGTTTCACAAGCTTTCGGATATTCAGTTTAAAAAAAAAAAAATCTGCACAGATCAAAGAAAGCTGACCTCAGGACACCAGATTCCACACCAGTGCCCAGTAACACTGAAGTCACCTGGATGAGCTCTCTGTAGCACTTTATTAGCAAAGATTTGGTTTGTTACTGTGAAGGTCAACACCTTAAAAGAGCATGTCTTCCCAAAAGCGGCCCTTACACTTTAAAGGTGGCCAGGATGGACTCTCACAATTTATAGAACTCACGTTCACTTGTGAGAATAAACATTAAGCTCCTCCAGTCTAAAATCCAAACACCATTATCCTGGTATAAAGCTCACATGCTCAGATTGCACCAAAAACTTTAAAGAACAGGGAATAAGTCTCACAATTTGGAAGATACTCCAATGCACCCAGAAGATATGCAGAAGTAGGAGGCCTCCTAAGCCTGGATAAACTAGCAAGAATTTCAGTGGAGTACTTTTCTTTTTTTTTTGGTACTGGGGATCGAACTTGGGACCTTGCGCTTGCGAGGCAGGCAGCGGAACCACTGAGCTAAATCCCCGGTCCTGGAGTGCTTTTCTTTAACCTTGATTATAATACAGGAGCAGACTACTGCACTTGATATAAAGTATCATCACCCTGAGTAAATAGTGGCTCAGATCAGCCTCCCTGGGCACTGTCCTTTTGATTACTGCTTTTTCAAAAGCTCTAATCCTGCTTACTTACTGAACCACACTCTGTCTCAGACCATTTCGCAATTGGTTCTTGTTCATTGTAGGATTCCATTCCTGCTTGTCCAGATGTGTTGACACAAAATTATCCACTTTCTGCCTCAGGTTTTGGTAAGCTGGCTAAAATATTAAAAAGAGATAATGTCAGCTGTTACATGCATCAAAGTTTTTGGACTTAGCCACTCAGAACACTATTTTTTACAGAAACATGTATTTTCACGTGATCTTAGCCAAAAGCCTGAGAAACAACAGAAACATGTATTTTCATATCTAAATGCACTTCCACATAACTGGGGCGCTCACCATGTGGCAGGGCAGCCATGAGTCACTGGTGTCACAAGTACCCACCTTACAGTAGGTGGCGCAATGCTGTATGTTTTATTTGTATGATTCCGTTTACTTTTCCAGCAACTGTTTGAGGAGGGTTTTATTAGCATTCTCCTGCCCCCATTTTAGACAGTACACTTTTAGGCTTAGAAAGAGAAACAATTTGCTCACGTGGCTGGAATGTGGCCAAGCCAAAGTTAGACCCAGGCTGTTTCTGAATGACAGGAACTGGGTTGCAGGCCTGGATCCACCACTCACTCACTGCCTGACTTTCAACAAGTCACCCAACCACTGAGTTTCCATTGTAACATGGAAATGCTCCTGCTCCACTTACGTCATGGGGGTGTTCTCAGCAACAAACTCAGCAAAGTTTCCTGCATAAAATGAAGGACCACCCAAACCTCAGTGTGATTCAAGAATACAGACTAACATCAAAGTCCATGGAACCTTGTCAAAGGGTATGGGGAAACAACATGTTAGTCTATAAAAGAGCTCATGAGGCACTTACTGGTCTCAAATGTTCTAGACCCAACTACGATTAGGAGAGCAAAATTAGAAAGTTACTCAGCAAACCCAAGGAATCCATGGTCTGAGCCTCCAAGAGTGTGTGCTGCTCCATCTTTCCTATTTTAGGCAGAGAACACTTCTTCACTCCACTGATGCAGAGTGTAGCAATGAGAAGCTGGGGCCAGTGGAATGTTGGAGATCAGAGGCTTTAAATGTGGTTATGCTTCTTGTTTGGCTCTTGTGTTCTGGTGACCCTTTAAGAGGGCATGTCTCGGGCACCAGAGTCTGCTCCTATGGCCTGGGGCTTAGGGTGGACACATGTGCAACAAGCCTAATTCCCAACCTACAGCCTTGGCCCTGCACCACGGCATCAAGCCTATCTAGATCAGCTGAATTTAGTTGACCTGCATCCCTCATAGAACGAGAACAGATGCTTGTTATAAACCAAGACCTGGTTTGTTATATAGCATAACTGTGGCTGTTTGCTAACAATTAGGGAAATGAAACTGAGAGAGGAACCTGGGGGCCTCAAGTGACTCTTCCAAAAGGCCAAGAGAGCAAACACATAAGGACTCTTCACTAAACCTGGAAAGTGGAAAGCAGGAGATGAAGGAGGTGGAATAAAATTCACAAACTCCCAGGTACTATCTGCCTAGCAGCTCTTTTTTTCCTGGTAACCATCTTCTCCTCTTCACAAGGGTAGTAGGTGCTGTGTCCTGCTCAGACAATGCAGATATTCTCTAGGATTTCCTGAAGTAGAGGGAGAAGTCTCCCTCTAGAGGAAGAAGCTGCAGGATGTAATCAAGGGTTACTAGTCATGAAATGAGTGATGTCACTCCGAGGACAGCAAAATAAAGAACAAAGATGAAAGAGTGCCAGCGGGGAATCCCTGGTTCCAAATGCATCTCTTCCCTTTTGGCATAGTTTGTTCATTTAATTCCTCCTTGCTCAGAAGAGTTAGATTTGTCATTTGTAACCATGAACCCTGACACTATATCCTCTCTCAAAATAACTAACTTGTTTTGAGAGAATAAACTTTACAAAGGACAGGGACTGTCCCCACCAAACCTTAACAAACCCTGACAATACAGAATAATCCTTTCCACTCAGTTCAATTAACCTAATGTGCCTATTAACATTTTACTACACTACCTAACTCTCCCTCTATTCACCTATCAGCTTGTTCTATTCATATTTTGGATGAACTGCAAAGAAAATTACCGACATCATCAGTTTGCTTTCTTCTAAACACTCCAGCAATCTGTGGTGGGGTTTAAGAATCTGCATTTTTATTAAGTTCTGAGGGGACATGATGTTGCTAATCAAAAGACCATACTTTGTAAACCACTGGACTACAGCAACAAGGATGAAAACACCCTGGTGGCTACCAGAAGAAACAGCTAAGGAGGTGTAAGTGGGAAAGGCCTCAATGGCTCCCATCCCCTTTTCAATACTCCTTGCTTCTTTTTAAAAAAATCACATGTATATCTTTATTGCATGAGTGGAGAACGTCTGATGGGAAGTTGAGAACATCCAGTACTAGGAAAGGTGGAAAGCTCTGTCAACGCTTTTCTATATAAAGAAAATTATAACTTTGTTTTAAAAAGAGCACTTCTACTTGGGTTTTTCATCTTGGAGGAGTGTAATAACATACACCACTTACTACATATAAATTATTTGGTTTACACGTCAATTTTCCTTTCCTAGAAGCTGTAGGGATGGGCTTCTAGCACATTACAGGTCAATATACATTTAGTGAATAAATAGAGTAAGTCTTTCCTTACCTGTACAGTCTAATTTTAAGCTCACAATCTTGCTATCAGGCAGGCATAAGCTTTTCACTGCAGGGTCAGAGAAAAGAAATTACTACCCTGGAGGAGCCCAGTCAGTAACAGAGCTTTGGAAACCTACAACCTTAGTCTTCTTGGAGGAATTTTGAAAAGGGAGAAAGTGAATATCCCAGCAACTACTACTATATATGCCTGACACTAAACACACACAATTTTATTAAATCCAAACACCCTTGGCAAGTAAGTAGAACAGCATTTTACTTGGAATGTGTGTGTGTGGCCTATAGCATTAAGATTAAAAAAAAGCACCAACTCTCTTCTACTTAGTCATGGGATACAAAATAAGGGTGCTAGTTCTACAACTTAACCTCATACTTGCTGCAAATCACTAGGCTGGAAAAAAGGGACAAATAACTATTACGTAAAATGCTGATGACTGCATTGAAACCATTCTGTATTTAAGGTCAGGTCCTTTGTGGTGAACAAAGAATGAGTGAAAATTCTAAAGCATTTCTGTGTGCTTAACTGGCTTCCTCTATTGTTTTGTTTTTTGAGACAGGGTCTCCCTATGTAGTTCAGGCTGGCCCCAAACTCTCAGCGATCCTCCTGCTTTGGCCTCCCTAGTGCTGAGATTACAGGTGTGAGCCATCACGACCGGCTTTCCTCTACTGTTCTTAACACATAGCGGGTTTTTTGGGGGGGAGGGACTTAAAGGAATTCCATTTTGGGAAAGATAGGGTGTAGGCTCTGAAATCCATATTGAATCCTCAAGTCTTGAGAAGCGACTGGGTTAAAACTACAGCTAACAATCGAAGGGCAGAGAGAACCCACATGCACCTCCCTCAGAAACCTCTCGGTACTCTACTGCCCCAGGCGGCTTAACGTGTTACTGCTGGTACTTTCACACGCTTACACCATCTTTTGTTTTACTCTCAGCTTTGAAAAAATCAAAACAGCCACCTGGACGGAGTGAAGTCCAGCTCGGCTCCCCTCCGCCCGGGCGGCCCCAGTTACCTTGGTGTCTACGTCGGCCAGGCAGTCCCGGCGGAAGCTGTCAAACAAGCCCCGGCTCTTGAGCTGCTCCACGATGAGAGCGATGAGCTGGGGGTCGCCGGGAGGAAGCGAGGCAGGATTAATAGGGCCGCCGGCCCCGCTAGCCCCAGTCCCTCCTGTCGCTGTCCCCGCTGAGGCCTGGCCCGCTGCTCCGCCGCCCACCGCGCCCGTTCCCCCGCCGCTACCGCCATCTGCCATGCCTGCGCCCCGGGCCCGCGAGATAAACTCTGTACGGCTTTTTCTCCGAGGCTGAGGGCCTAGATTATGCAAAGGAGACAGAGGCCCCCACGGAGGCACCGATGGAGGTGCCGGTGGGGGCGGCGGCGGAGGAGGCCAAAGCAGTGGTGTCGGCGGAGGCGGTGGGGGAGAGGGCGGCGGCGGCGGCGGCGGCAGAGGAGGCCGACCTCTTGGTTTCCGGCACGCCTCCGATGACGTCACAGACTGCCTTTGCATTGTGGGACGGTTGGTTTTCTGCAACCATCTCTGGTGTTCTTATAGGCAGAGGTCTGTCCCACAGAGACTACAACTCCCGGCAACCTTTGAGCTCGCTCTTCACGAGTTTGTGGGGCAGCATGGGAATTGTAGGCTCTGGCCCTCGTGATAGCTGCAACTTCCTGGAGTTCCCAGCTGGCTATATCATATCCTAAGAAGGCCCCATTATAAGACTCATCTGCGAAGCTGATCAGATTACCAGACTTATCCTCTAAAGATGGTTCAATGTTTTGGGCTTGGGGATCTGTGCTTTTGAGGTGGACTCCCTGGTCCTTTCTGAACAATATGATCTGGGAAATTTGGGAAACAATGTATATCTCCCCCTTCTGATTTTTTTCCCCCATTAAGTTTATTGGTACATTTTAGGTATAAAAACAGTTACGTTCATCATTGGGATATTGTACCATTACATGAATATCTTGGTTCTTATTTTTTTCCCCTTCCCCTGCCCTCCCTTCACCTTCTCCACCCTTCCCCTGCCCTCCTTTCACCTTCTCCACCCTTCCCTATTTGCAAAGACTTTGTTTCCATTTTTTTTTCCTTTTCTCATATTTTTTCTTTTCCCTTCTTTCCTTTCCCCTCCCCCTCCCCTTTCCCTACTCCTTTAGACCTTTTCTTCCTATTACACAATATCAGTTACACATTTTTAAAATTACAATATCAAGATCTAGAAGACATTACCACAAATTTTACAGAATTTAAAAGGATATAGAAAGCATATTACAAAAATCTTTTTTGAAATAAATTTGACAACTTCTAAGAAGTACTTTGG